TTTTTTTTTTTTTTTTTTTTTGGTAAAATAGGTCCTTGGGCCATTTTCATTATTTAGGACATACTGATCCCACTCAGGTAATTTCACCGTGGTCAGCACCACCGAAATCTGCTTTGTAGCAAGTGCTTTAGTTTAAAGGATGCTCCTTTATGGAAATGCAGGTTTTGGCATAGATGTGTCAGGTGCCTTGCAGGATAAAAGGGGTGTCACGTAAGCAGGCATGGGTGGGGAATTTTCTTTTGAGTGAAACTGGCGTTGTTGTGAAAGTAGCTTCTGCTGTCACTTAAGACAACAGCAGGAGAGAAAAGAAAACAGCATCGCGAATTACATGTTTTATGCTCCTGTTACCGAGCTCATGTTTTGCTTCTTACTTTTGATAAGAAACACCTATGAATTATTACTGAGTGAGCCACTGTTTAGGTTACAAGCCTGAATAGTAAATTTGGAAACTTGAACATATCAGTTTCCTCACAGATACAGGTAAAACCGGCCTCCGTGGGGTGTCAGCTCCCTGGCATGTGTCACGGGAACTCTGGGCTGTCTGCTTTCAACATCTGCTGAAACAAACTTCCTTCCTGGAGGCAGCAGCACCCTGGATTTTCTGGCTGGAGGCTGTGCTTCGCTCTCAGATCCTTTAGTTCTTTGGACAGTGTCACTCTCACCTTCAGGAGGCGGTGCTGTTGCTTTGCGGACCTCACCAAGTTTGGTTCAAATTTCTCCCTGCCTGCTGGCCACAGGGAGAGTCACCCAGTAGCCTCCCTCCCTCTGCCACACAATCTTCCTCTTCCCTCCTCCTGTGCTTCCTCTCCTCCTCTTCCTCCTTCTCCCCTCTCTCTCCCCTCTCTCTCCCCTCTCTCCCAGGCCCTGACCGCTCCATGATTGGTGTTGGGGCTGGCAGGAGGGACACAGGCTTCCTGGTTGACTGCGGAAAGGAAGCCCCCTCTTCTGGCTGCTGTTGTCTCTCTGGTTGATGCTTTTGGCCATTGATGGTCTCATGAGCTGGAATCTGACTGGAATGGATTTGACACACGGAACGGACGCTCAGTGGGCTGTTGGACACTCTTCTGAGACCTCCACATGTTCATAAGGACAAGCCACCCCCGCTGTGGCTTCTTCCTGCTGGCCCAGACGATGCCCTCTTGACTGAGAATCCCCAGCTGAGTGAGCCTTAGTGTTCCATGAGTTCACAGGCAGCTCTGGGGAGAAGAGTGCTATGCTGTTTGGGTCGGGGACAGAGGAGAGGTGACCCAGAAGCTGTGTTCATGGGAAGATGACGAATGCCTCTTCCACCCTGGAGTGAGCCCCTGAGGAGCAGGGAGCGGAGGCCCGGGGGTGGACCCAGCAGTTCCTGGGGGCAGGGTTTCCTGAAGGATCTTCTGATAGACTGCTGGGAGCCACACTCAGAGGACTCTTTGTTTTCTGTCACACATTCCCCTACCTCATCCTCATCTTCAGAGACACTTCTTAAACCTGATAAAGCAGATATGTGCCCATCGGGGTTCACTAGGGGAACAGATTTAATATTCTCTCCCTATATATATAGTTTACTCGGCAGGTTTGCAGTGGCCACCTGAGGAGTCTGTGGAAGACTCAGAGGATCCAGACAAAGATCAAAGCCCCGAGCTCACTGCAGAGTCCAGTTGGAGTAAGGCTGGAAGCTGAAGTTCTACGTGAAAGGGATGAAGAACCTGTAGAGGAACATCCAGAGGTGGTGCTGAAGGCTGGAGCTCCTTCAAAGAAGCAAAAGGGCAGGCTTCCTCCTTTCCCTTTTTATTCCATCCAGGCCAGAAGCCTATTGGCTGGTGCCACCCACATTCGGGAGGGTCCTCCCTCCTCAGCTTGCAGCCTATGTGTCAATCACTCATGGACACACCCAGAACTGCGCTCCACTGATTTGCTAGGGGTTTCTCAGTCCATTCAAGTTGATGTATCCCAGTGAACCACCACAAGAGATCACCCGGAAGATGAGAGAAAGTTCTGCAGACCATGACGCCCCTCACATTCACCAGGTCCCCTCACACACACTGTCCTCGAACTCTTTGATCTTTCCTCCACCCATGTAAATCCATTTGCTGTTTGAGACTGAGATAACCACTTCTCAAAGGCTCCCAGGATTAGACTGGCCTCTGGGACCCTTCTTCCTGATGCTTAATTTCACACCAAATTTAATCTGCTTTGTCTTATTACATATGGGAAAGCTTTTCATCTCATTTCGCTAGATGAGAAAATTTTGAAGTAGGAATAACATTTTCTAGGATTTACAGTCTCCTCTTAATGGAATGAAAATGCTGAACATTCAATATGTGTTAAAAATATTTCTGTGTTGATTGGAACAGGAAGCCCAAACTAGTTGTCAAAGTCTTACTCCACGTTTCCCTTTAGTCCTTCATTCCTGGGCAACTGTGCTGCTTTTGAAGGGAGCTATGCTTCATACATATGCCCCATTCCCCTTATTTTACCTTCTGGACAAGCCTTTGACTTTGGGCAGACCCAAGCAGGTGTGAGCTCCATGTACCTGCACTTTCAGGAGATGCCCTTGGTCCTCCCTTCTGAGATCCGGAGTTCAAGCTGCAGGTAGTGGCTGCCCTCTGGTTCTTCACCTGGGATGAAGTCTCTCAGTGATGCCTCTCAGAGGTGTCCAGGGATAGGACTGAGAAGGAGAAAACCCTACTGGGGAAAAGTGTACACTAAGCAGGACACTTTAGCTCTAAACTGTAAGTAAGAAACCAACCTCCCTGTGTGCCGGAAGAGCAGCATGGTTCTGGTACTCAGCACAAATCTATTCTCCCCTAAGAGATGGGAACACTTGAGACCCCGTCTCTGTCCCTCTCTGGATCTCTTCTTCCTCCTCATCTGGTTCTTGCTTTCTTCTTGGCCCTTCACTGGAATACCTTGGATGGACACATACTTGTGTTCTTCCCGACATAAAATGGCAGAGCAGCCTTCAGCCCTGTAGGAATATCGTGCAAAGTATTGCCTTGATTCATTGACTGACTGGTTGATTGTCATGCTGGGGACCAAACTTGAGTGCCCTCTACCACTAAGCAATGCCCCAGCTCCAAATACCAACTTTTCAGTGCAGAAGGCCCATGAGGTGTATCCCACCGTCATCTGTGATAAGGCCCTTGGAGAAACCCTGAGGCTCATTTTCCTCCAGAGCAATAACTGCCCACTCTTTTTGCCCCACAGCTTTAACCATCCAGTCTGGTTTTTGAACAAAGAAAAGCCAAAATTTAGTCAGCCAGCCGTGGCTTCCCACCTTCACCCGGCAGCTTTTTAGTGTTATATGATCTTGGTCGACTCACCTGATGGTGTCATGTCTTCTCAATGACTTCCACCACAGATCTTTTCCTCCATAGAGCTGGGCTTTAGATGCTAAGTCACCAAAGATTCTCAGCTTACAATAATCCATGTGTGAGGTTGGGGACAAAAACTGCTGTTGCTGCTTATTTGCTTTGAGTCTACTTATGGTGACTGATACTTGTACCAGGTTGCTCTCTCTGATACAGATACCCAACTATGATGCCAATGATAAGAGAAACTAACATTGGTATGTACCATATTTTTACATTTACATTAATTAGGTTGCTTTTTATTATTACTGCTTTTTCTTTTCTGCAAGATTTCATCTATGGTGGTTAAGCTTAACTGTCCACTTGATTGACTTGGGAGCTGCCCAGAGGGTTAGTAACTTCTGGGTGGGTCATGGAGGTGTGAGCTTGGGTACCATATCTGGTTCCTGGCCCCCTTCCTCTGGGTTCTCCTGCTCGACTTCCTGGCCACCATGAACTGAGCAGCTTTCCTCTGCCATGCTCTCCTGCCATGATGTTTCTGCCTTGGAGCCAGCCAACCGCAAACTGAGACCTCTGAAACCATGGGCCAAATAAACGATTTCCTTCTTTAAGCTGTGAAAGTCAGGTATTGTGTCCAGCAATGGGGAAGCTGACTAGCAGAGTTCCCATGCAGGCATTACTGCTGATGTCTATGAACTTACACTAACCCCTCGCTTGAGTCGAATAGGAGGACTGAGACTGTGGTTCCAGTGACCCCTCACTAGACTCAAGCAGCTGCAAACCTGGCAGTGATGGATGCGGAGAGGGCACAATGAGAGCACCTTGAGTAAGCAGATGCCAAAGAGCCTTTAAAATAATTCAGTCAATCCAAAGCTCAAGATAAAAAAGAGAAGACAGTTTTTAAGAACATCCTTATTGAAATAGAGGCATCTGGGTAAAGCAAATCTACGATTTTCCCAAATTGCTCATTTGGATGTGAACGCAGGAGCATCCTTTGGCTGAAAGTATCAACTTGAATAGTTACCGGAAAGTCATGAAACGTTAGCAGCAAAACTTTAATTACAGCTTAGCACTGTGGGAGAATGTTGGTCTTAATGGCCATACAGTGGATTTAATGGAGGATCCTTATGCTATTTACAGCACCTAATGAGAAGCATTAAAGCCTTTTGAAAATACTATATCAATAAAAAAGGGAAAGCAAACTTTTTCCTGCACAGGGCTTCTTTGTGAGGGACAACTGGTCAACCCAAGCAGTAATAAATGATCCCTTCTGCAATGAAGAAGAGGCTTCTTCCAGGCTTTGATGATGCATGTGTCCCTTCCTCAAGAAGATGGGTAGGATACCCTTCCTATTAACCCTGTGGCTCTCTGTTAAATACTCACCATTTTTCTTTGTTCATTAAGCTGTTGGTTCTCTTTGAGGCTGAAGAGAGCCCTGTGAGTTTGAAGCCAGATCTGAATCCCACTGACTAATTCCTGTCTTCAGATTCTGGAGATGTTCCCTTATTAAATAACACCCTGCTGCCTTCAAAGGGCACTGGAGGGCGGCTCATCTCAAATAAGTTCACCCTGGCTTTGCCATGGATCCCAGAGTGCAGCTTCCATCTGCTGAAGGTCCAGGCTGGTGTCCAGGCCTGGCCCGATCAGCTCGGTGACAGTGTGGTGCTTAGTGTCCAGGTCATGGAGGCTCCACTCCTGCTCTACCACTCATGGTGATGTTGGAGGACTTACTGTGGCTCTCGTGCTCCTGACTCCTAGAAAGGGCTTTCTAGGTACCTGGAAAGTGATAAGGGACCCATCTGCATGGCTCTTTCATTATTTTCATTTCTCAACCTTTACAAGTATCTACTGTGCACCAGGTTCCACCACTTGGGGGACAAAGATGAACACATGAGCCCTTTGGTTCCAGGAGCTCATTCTGGCAAGAGGAGGCACAGGCAGGTTGACCATGAGGGTTCCTATGATCCTGGCTCTGATGGAGGGGCCTGAGGGATTTAGGAGCATCTGCAGGTAAGAGATGGATGCAGCTGAACACTCCCAGTGAAGGGACGACCTCGAGTCAAAGTTCCATGGCAAGGAGAGCCCGGAGAGATGTGGGGCTGATGGTGCAGGTGGGGCACATGGGCTGTGCCTGAGTCGCACTTGGAACCAGGTCTGAGGGGCTTTGAGTGCCAGCCACAGGCAGTTGGCAGTCACAGTGTGAGGGAGGAGTTATGAGACCAGATGTGTGTTTCAGCAGGACTTGTTTTCCAGAGATGTGAAAGAGGGGCTGGAGGGAGCAGACCTGGGATCCCAGGGGCTGGTGGACATTGCACTGTGAAAACAAGCTCCAGTGACAGCACTGGCCACCAGGAAGGGCAAGAAGAGACAGAAGCAAGAGGAGGTTGAGGAGGAAGTTGGAGTCTGTAGTGATGGCATCCCATGAATGTGGCAGCTGAGAACGATGGAAAGGGAGAGGCCATGGGATGTAAGCCAGAGCTCCACAGGTGGCACGAGGTGCCCCATGTGATGGGCTGGAGAAGCCCCTGTGTGTTAGGTGTTGTTTTCTCATTGCTGAGACCAAACACCAACATCCAAAGTTAAAATAGGAAAGGCTTATTTAGCTCAGTTTGAAGAGGTTCAGTCCATAATCGGCTGCTCCAAGGCAGAGTGGCATGGCAGAAGAAAACAGTCCATGATACCCACATGGTAGCAAAGCAAGGGACCTTAACAGAGCCATCCCGCCCCTTTTATCTTATTCAGGCTACTTAGGGCAGGTAGCGTGCATGGCCTTAATCCTAGTGTCTTTGAGTCTAGCATTACACCATGAATCAATTCCAGTGTCACCCTCTAGTCCAGCCACCTCTGAAAAAGTCCCACTTCATTTGTATGAGACCTCATGGGACCATTTAAATACAAGTCATAACAGCCTGCCCTGGTGTTAATAGTTTAGATTGGGCTGCCCCCTGAGAGCCTCATGTGATCACAGGCAGAGCTTTTAAAAAGTGATTGAATCATGGGGCTCATAGCCTACTTGCTGGTAGGAGGCTGGGCCTGGTCGGATGAGGCAGTCATGGGGGACATGGCCTGGGCGGGTTCATCTCCCTCTCTGGCTCCTCCTTTCTCTCCACTTCCTGTCTGCCATACCAGGAGCTGCTTCTCTCCTGCCGTGCTGCTCTGCCATCCCAAGGCAGCCAGCCATGGATTGAAACCTCTAAACTGTGAGCCAAAGCCAGCCTTTCACCCCTCCATCTGTGGGTGTTGAGTATGTGTCTGGTGATGAGAGAGCAGCTGCGACCCTGGGCTGTCACGTGACACGCCTCCTAGCCCACTGTGCTCCCCCCGGTGCAGCCCATTAGGCACCATCCTGCGCGGGCCTGAGTGCCCGCCGCCCGAGTTCTCCACTCCTCACTCGGGCGGGCG